TTTTTAATTACATTTTCAATTTCACTGATTGTGATTGGGGTGTTTAAAATGTTTTTATCTTCTTCATTAAAGTTTGGTAATTCATGAGTATCTAGAAATCTGTCCATTTCTTCTGTATTTTCCATTTTATTAGAGTACAGGTTCTCAAAGTAGGTGTTCATGATCCTCTGGATTTCTTTTGGATCTGTTGTGACTTTGCCTTTTTCATTCCTGATTGTATGGATCTGAGCCTTTTCTTTCCCTTTTTTGATAAGATTAGCTAAGGGTTTGTTGATTTTATTTATTCTTTCAAAAAACCACCTCTTTGTTTCATTTATTTTTTGCATCGTTTTCTTAGTTTCAATTGCATTGATTTCTGCTCTGATCTTTATAATTTCCTCTCTTGTTTGAGCTTTGGGTTTTTCTTGCTCTTGTTTTTCTAGGAGTCTAAGTTTCATCATTAAGTTGTTTATTTGAGCCCGCTCTGTTTTCCTAGTGTCGGCATTCAATGTTATGAATTATCCACGTAGAACTGCTTTCATTGTGTCCCAAAGATTCCTGTATGTTGTATTGGCATTCTCATTTATTTGTAAAAACTGTCTAATTTCTTCTTTAATTTCCTCTGTAATTCATTGATTGTTTAGAGGAGTGTTGTTCAGTTTCCATGTGCTTGTGAAGTTTCTATAGTTTCTTGTGCTATTGATCTCCAGTTTGATTGCACTATGATCTGATAATATACAGGGGATGATTTTAATTGTTTTGCATTTATTTAGACCTGTTCTGTGAGCCAGTATGTGGTCTGTCTTGGAGAATGATCCATGTGCAGCTGAAAAGAATGTATATTCTGATTTTTGGGGGTGGAATACTCTATAAACATCTATTAAGTCCATGTGTTCCAAAGCTTGGTTCAGTTCTATTATTTCATTGTTGATTTTCTGCCTAGATGATCTGTCAATTTGTGATAGTGGGGTATTTAAATCCCCCACTACAATTGTATTAGTGCTTATTTGGTTTTTCATGTTACTTAATATTTGTTTTATATAGTTGGGTGCGTTTATATTTGGTGCATATATGTTTATGATTGTCAGCTCTTCCTCTTGAATTGTTCCCTTTACAAGGATGTAGTGTCCTTCTTTGTCTCTCTTAATGAGTTTTGGTTTGAAATTTACTTTATCTGAGAATAAGATTGCTACCCCTGCTTTTTTCTGGGCTCCTGACGCATGGAGAGTTGTTTTCCATCCTTTCACTTTCAGTCTATGGACTTCCTTTTGCACTAGGTGTGTTTCTTGTATACAACATAGTGTTGGATTTTGCTTCTTAATCCATTCTGCCAATCTATTTCTCTTGATTGGTGAATTGAGGCCATTAACATTGATGGTTATAACTGATATATTCTGACTTATTCTTATCATGTTATTGTCCTTTTGTTGACTCTTTTTACTTTTTCTCCCATCTCCTTTTAGTTTTTTGGTTTGCCTATTTGATTTGGTCTGTTGGGCCTCATGTTATTGTGAACTTCATTATCCTTTTCTAGGATATTGTTTAGAATTCCTTGCAGTGCTGGTTTGGTATTCATGAAATTTCTCAGGTGCTCTTTGTCATGGAAGTATCTTATTTCCCCACCTATTTTGAAAGAGAGTTTTTCAGGATTTATCAGTCTAGGTTGGAGGTTCTTTTAGGACTTGGAATACCTCACTCCAGGTTCTCCTTGACCCAAGAGTTTGTGTTGAAAAGTCTGCTGTGATTCTAATGGGCTTTCCTTTGCATGTGATTTGTTTCTTTTCTCTTACTGCTTGTAGTATTTTGTTTTTCTATTGGATTTCTGGAATCTTGATTCTTAAATGTCTAGGTGTAGATTTTTTTTGATCGTGGCTAGTTGGGGTTCTATATGCCTCACTTATCTGTATGTCTAATTCTTCCCTTCTGTTTGGGAAGTTTTCTGTCATTAATTCTGTGAAGAGTTTTTTTATGTCGTTTGCGTTTTCTCCTGTTTTTTCATGAATTCCTATCACTCTTATGTTATTTTTCTTTGTATCGTCTAGGAGTTGTTGGATTGATTTCTCATGATCCCTTACTGTTTTTAATAGATCTCTTTTTTCACGGTCACTGACTGCTATCCTATCTTCTATATCTGAAATTCTATCTTCGCAATCTTTTATTCTGTTGTGTACACTTTCAATAGAGTTTTTAATCTCCTGGATATCTGTTTGAATCTGTTTTATGGATTCGATTTCTTTCCTCTGTTGGGCATTCATTGTTTCCATTTCTTTCTTATGCTGAGTCTTCATGGCTTCTATCATGGTCTTGAGCTCATCTATTTTTTTGTTAGTTTCTGCTCTAGAGTCTCGAATCATGGCTTCCATTTTGCTCATCATCTCTCTGGTTAACTGGGAAATTATTTCTGATTTGAATTTTTCTAGAGCCTGATTGATCTGTTTTGTTACCTCCTGTGCTATGCGTCCAGGGTGTCCTGTTGGTTCACTATCAGACTTTTCATCTTCATTTTATTTTGTTACCTCCTGTGCTATGGGTCCAGGGAGTCCTGTTGGTTCACTATCAGACTTTTCATCCTCATTTGTCCTACTATTTGCTATTGGTGAACTGGAAATCTGTTTTTGTGTCTTGCCTAAGTGTTTTCTCATTTTTATTTTTATTGTTGGGTTGTCCTTCTTTAATTTCTGGGTATTACTTAAATCTTCCTAATATAGTTGCGTTTTAGCTTTTGAGTTTCTAATGACTCATAGACATCCTCATTTTCATAATATCAGAGAAAACAACTCTTTAAATTAATCACAACCCTTTATCCCAATTGATACATTCAGCAGCCCAATAGGATCAGGCACAGCTTGCAAACTGACCACTTGTGGTAGTCATTAATGTATCACCTTTAACTCATGTGAATTAAATTAATTTCAAGAAGCAGCCCATAATATGTTTTCAGTGAATATGCTTTTCAATACAGCATCTTTACCATTTAGGATGGGGGGTTAGACTTAGAATGAGAGGATTAGATAAATGAGAGAATTAGAGCAGGTTTGAAGTGAATCGAGAAGATGTAGAATTATCTTACTATCTTTACAAAGCTATTAACTTCAGGGGGGATAGAGAGAGTGCAGCACAGTTTTTAATAGCTGAAACATCCCACTTGCCTATCAACTGGAGATTTTTTTTTTTTTTTTGCTACCAGGGATTGAACTTGGGTCCTTGTGCTTGCAAGGCAGGCCACTGAACCACTGAGCTAAATCCCTGGCCAGAGAATGTTTTTTTATATATAAAATAGAGCACTACTCAGCCATAACGGATAAGGAACTAGAGGCATTTATAGCTAAATGGATGCACACTGAGGCCATACTCTTAGGTGAATAAATAGGACACATGTGTAAATACCAGTTTCTCTGGTGTGAAAAGCTAAGTGCAAATAAGGATCAAAATGCATAATTGATAATATGAAATAGGAAGAAACTGTGTAAAGGAGTAGGGGGAGTGGGAAGTGTAGGGGAAAGGAAAGAAGGGAAAAGAAAAAATATGAGAAAAGCAAAAAATGGAAACATCATTGTAAATAGGGAGGGTGGAGGGAGGTGAAGGGAGGGCAGGGGTATGGGGAAAATATAAGAACCAAGATAAGTAATTTAAAGGTACGAGATCCTAATGATGAATGTAACTGTATTGTATACATAAAATGTACCAATAAACTTAATGAAAAAAAGAGAAATAGGTATTAAATCAGTATTACTTACCAAATTTCATGGTTTATTTTTAATTAACTTTATTGGTACATTTACATTATATAATATGATGACATTCATCATTAAAAATTTGCAACTTTACATAATCCATCTTGGTTCTTATTTTTTCCCCAGTCCCCTGCCCTCCCTTTAACCCCTCCATCCTTCCCTATCTACAAAGACTTTGTTTCCACTTTTTCTTTTTCTCATACTAATTCTATTCCCTTCTTCCTTTTCCCCTAGACATCCCACTTCCCCTTCAACTTTGCACCTTTTCTTCCTGTTTCACATTATCTCTTGTACCTTTTTAGTTCTTATTTACACTTTGTTTCACACACTGCAGAAACTATTCAGTATTTACAGATGTGTGTCCTATTTATTTCACTTAAGAGTATGGACACAATGTGCATCCATTTAGCTACAAATGTCTCTAATTTCTCATTCTTTATGGCAAGCAATACATTTTATTTAAAAAGTATATTTTATCCAGTCTCCTATTGATGGTCAGTTGGGCTTCTTCCAAGTTTTAGCTATCACCGAATTGTGCTGCTATGAACATGGGTGCACATATAACCCTGTGGTATGATTCTTCTAATTCTTTTGGGAAGATACCCATATGGGGAATAGCTGGGTCAAATGGGACTTCCAGTCCTAGTTCTCTGAGGTATCTCCATACTGATTTCCACAGTGGTTGCACCAGTTTACATTCTTACTAGCAGTGGAATAGGATTCTTCTTTCCTCATATCCCTGCCAGTATTTGTTATTGATTGATTTCATTTTTTAAATTTTTATTTATTTATGTATTTGGCACCAGGAATAGAACTTGGGCCCCTGTGTTTTCAAAGCAGGTGTTGGAACCACTGAGCTAAATTCCTGGTCCTAATTTATGATAGCAGCCATTATTTGTGGGGTGAGGTGGAATCTCAGTGTTGTTTTCATTTGCATCTCTTGAATGACCAGTAATGTTGAACATTTTTTAATAAGTTTATTTGCTATTTCTACTTCTTTGTCTGAGGAAGAGCAGGTGAAAAGTTTTTCCCACATTGTAAGTTGTCTCTTCACACTATTGGTCATTTCTCTTGCTGTGCAGAAGCTTTTTGATAAGAAGACATCTCACTTACTGATTATTCATGCTAGTTCATGGGCAAATAAGGTTTTGCTCATAAAATCTTCTCCGCTACTAATGTCTTGAAGAATTCTTCCTAACCTCTTTTTTCAGCCTGTTTAGTGTTTCTCTTTTAATATTTAGATCTTTAATTCATTTCAATTTTAGTTTAGTGTGTGCTGATAGGTATAGGTCTAATTTTAATCTTTGGCAAGTTGTAACCCAGTTTTTCCAGTACCATTTATTAAATACGCTATCTTTCTACCAGTAAAGGTGTTTGGCTCCATTGTCAAACATGAAGTGGCAGAGTGTGTCTGGAGTTGTTTATGCTTCTTCAGATTATTTGTTAATGATGAAAAAGAATACTATCTGAGCTATACTGGTACAATTGAATATGTTTTATTCATTTTCAGTCCTTTGTTATTCATCTAATTTTATTTGATAAATTTAAAGTCATATTTCTGTTTAGAATCATAAAAATATTTCTCAAGAAATTTTAAAAAAAGATTTTCCATCTTTTTAACTTAAACTTTTGAAATACTTTTATGGAACTGTAACACCCACAGAGAAAAGTCAAAATTCACCTAAGTAAACAGATTTTGGAATTTCATAAATTGCATAGGCATATGCAAACAAAACCAGGCCAAGTGGCAATACATTGTCAGGTTTCTTATTTTCCCTTCCAGTAACTATGCCATAAAAGAACTACTATAATATCCAGAACTCTAATTATCAGTGGGTTTTGACTGGTTTTGAATGTTGGATATATGAAATCGCACAGCCTTCTTCCTTATTTGCCTTTCTTCAGGGTACCTGAACCTTTTATTTGGATAAAAATAATACTAAAACCAGTTCTTCAAAGAGGAATGTTTCTTAACTTAGATTGTAGATTTTCTAATTAACTGTGACATTAATTCAAGAGGTCTTTTTAAATTAGATTGTACATTTAAGGTTTATAATATTCATTTACTTTAATGAAAGCTTTAAATTAGAAATTTCAGCAGAAGTGCATGTTAGTGGGGGTGTGGCTTGGCAAGGTAAATGTTATGTGCAAAGAAGTGATCAGAGATTGCCCTGTTACTTTACCTAAGGAACTGTTCTGAATCAAAGTTATTATTACATGCAAATAAATTTAACCTATATAACAATATAAACAGTTAAGATTAAATGTGTAATTTATTTTTAGGATCTGTTTAAGGACAAACTGCTAGAAATAATGTCAAGTATTCAAACTTACTGCCAAGTGAGTTCAATGTCAGATTTTGGAACTCAAAATTATGAGCAATGGGCCATTCAAATGGAAAAAAAAGGTAATTTGGGTTTTGATCAAACAGTTTTATCCCATGTTTATGCCAAAATTTCAAGTGATTATATCACATGTTCATGACCAAACTGAAAGCGAATGGAATATCAAAAAGAATTTCTGTATTTTGTATAGGACATACATACACATGTTCTAATTCCTTATCTAAATAAAGATGCCCCAACTCATCCAGTTCCCTTGTTCACTTATTGTATATATTAAATATTAGCTAAATGTTAGCACTGTCTCCAAAGGTGTACTCCACTGATACACTTTGCATGCCATTCCTCCATGGGGCCAGTACATGTTCTTTCTGATGTGTTGCTCAAACAGCAAGTCTAGGAGTTGGAAAACCTGGCACCTTTTAGAATTCATGGCTCTCTTGAGTCTTATCATGATCATTTCAAAACCAAGGTGAATCCAGTTTTGAAGTCCTAATATAGTGTCCATAATTGTAGAGTTTGTATGCTCACTATTTCACTTGCGTATTTTATTCTTTCCTAGCTGCTAGAGAAGGAAATCGAAAAGCTCGTGTCTGTGCAGAACATTTGAGGAAGTATAATGAAGCCTTACAAATTAATGACACAATCCGAGTGATTGATGCATATAATCACCTCGAAACTTTCTATCATGATGAGAATGTGAAGAAATTTGCAGTTCTGGAAGATGACAGTGATGTGAATAGTAGTGATGATGACTGTGATGGTGATGGAGATAGGACTGCTTTGAAGCGACTGGAGAAACAAGATGAGACAGACAGATTTCTTGTGACTTTGTTTTCTGGTAAGGTCAAAAGTAACATATTGGATGCTCTCATGCATTTAGCTCTTTAACATGAGCCGACTGCTTCTGGTAAGCATGCTCCAATACTTGCTTAAAAATTCATTTTGAAAGAAACCCCTGCAGGCTGTGGCTGGGTCTAATTGATGTGATCAGATTGTTGCCTGTATGATCCTAATCAGTTATTTGATAATCTAGTTGTATCATCAAGACAAATAAATGTATTAATTAGAACAGCCTAGTTATTAGATATAATACAAAATCAAGTACAGATGACTCATAACTCAGTGCACAAACACATGAAATCTTCCAGCTGAAGTCTGAAGATGTAGCTCAGCAGCACAGAGCCTTGCTGGCAAGCATGAGGACCTGAGTTCAAGTCCCAGTGTTGGAGAAAAAAAATTTTCCAGTTGAATTATTTGTATATTTTACTAATTTATACTAATTTTAAAGTTTTTTAAATTATTTATTTTAAACTTTGAAAATAAAAATTGTATGTATTTGTGACGTACAACATGATATTTTAATATATAGTCATATACTCTCTCTCTCTCTATATATATATATATATATATATAGTGGAATGGCTAAATCAAGCTAATTAACATTAATAATGATAATTCTTTCTTAAAGAAAACAAAAAAATGTTGAAAAACCTGGCTGATAACCCAGAGTATGAAAATGAAAAGCTGACCAAATTAAGAAATACTATATTGGAACACTATACAAGGACTGAGAAACCAGCACATGGAATAATTTTTACAAAAACCAGACAAAGTGCACATGCCCTTTCCCAGTGGATTACTGAAAATGGAAAATTTGCAGAAGTAGGGGTCAAAGCCCATCATCTGATTGGAGCTGGACACAGCAGCGAGTTCAAGGCTATGACACAGGTATAAACATCACCTCACACTTCTTTTCTTGTGCTACTCTCACTCTTACAGAATTTTAATGCTTTTCATCAATTCTCTCATCAGCCACAAGTATATTGACAGAATAAAATATGTGTTTTGGAATAAAGTTTAACAGCAACCTAATCTATGGTATTTAATACTTTAAACATTGTCTTAGAAGTCAGTTTTACTTTTCACACTTGGAAGAACTTTCTAAGTTGAGTTTTTTTTTCTGCAAAAATGAGTGATGCTTAAAAACAATGTAGATAAATGATTTCCATATGAAATTGGGTGAAAAAATCAAACTTTCATGAAAATATGTGCTTTATAATTAGAATTATGCAAAAGTATAATTGCATCGAATGAAACCGATAAGAGAATCTGTAAAATATTTGCTGTTAGAGATTTTGAGTTTTGGGAGGTTTTCTGTTTCTTTTTAACTTTTTAATTAAATTGGCTTTCATTCCATTATACTATTTATTGTATGCATAGTAAGAAAAAAAAAGCTTTGGGAGAGAAAAATGACAATTGACATGGGTAAATCATTTTCTTAGAAGAATAAGACTCTGCTCTTCTGAAGTGATACTTCAGTTAGGTCACAGTTATCTCACTCAGAGCAACAAGTAAATCCATTTAATTTGTGAGCAAAAGTAAATCCACTTAATTTGTGTTTAGAAAAAAGGTTCATGTAATTGTTCACTATAACTCTGAATATACCCCATGCTTGCACTTATGTTAGAGTTCCAAAATTTAGTGACAGAGAAAACAGTTTTCCTTGAGTTTGTTTCCTCCTAGTGGATGAGAATTGGTTGACTTTGCCCCTTTTGTCCTTGCTTCCGAGAGGCTTGAAGGCAAAACTGAAGTTTAGCCTCATGACCTCTTTGTTAATCCTTACACTAATCCATCTATACTCTTCTACGTTGAGTCCTATTTTTTGCTTTTCCTATTATATTTATTAGCTTTAGTGTTATGAATTTTATTGAGTAGCCTCAGCTCCTATTTGAAAAGAGATAAGGTGCAGATGAAAAGCCTATTTTTAAACTACTTACTCCTCTTTATTCACTTCCAACCTGAGAACTGCATGCAAAAACACAGACCAAACTCTCTTCCACACTTTCTGCATCCTCACCTTGCAAACTGGAGGAAGCTTATACCTAAGGAGGGAGTGAAGTAATTACTTGCTGTGATTGGAGGATCCGACACTGAGTCTGAAACTTCATTCTTCAAGTGATTCCTTTGAATTAAATCACAGACGTGTTCTAAAATCCAAGAATGTGTTATGTTTTTATCAGTGGATATGAGAGTTTAAGGAGACATAATCAAAGATTCTAGAGGAGACTTTACAGGGTTCTTCAGTAATTAGGAGTCAAATGAAAGCTCTAATGTCTCTAAGAAGAAAGAGAAGGGCATAGCAGAACACATGGTTGAGTCCGGAAGGTTTGTTCTGTTTAATGTATACAGAGAGAAAAGACAATGTGAGCATGCTCACCTATCCTTTCTATGCAAGGGCCAGAGGCATATTTTAATATATTTATTTTAATATATTCATATTTATATTAACCTTCAAATTTTATTTTATTTAAAAATACTTGCTGTAATTATGTCTCTACTAGCCTATTCCATTTTTATGTATATTATCCATTTCAATAAACCATATATTTATCTTGACCACTTAATAAGCTAGAAAGCATAACTTCCACTCTCTTCTCTGGAGGCAACTAATGTGGACTTTCAGGAATATTTCATGTATTTGTTGACCAAATGATCCTTAAAATACCTGAATGCAGCATGCACTATCATTTTCTTTGTAACTCAAAACTTAACAATCTCTAAAAGTGCCACCGCATTTTATTATCATAATATTAAAGATTTTAAAGTTAAAATGGTGAACAAAATAGCCCATTTTAAGCTTCTCATTACTGTATCCTCTTCTCAGCTGACAACATCCCATCTTTTCTTCCTCCCAAACCACCATCAATTTATTTCTTTGGCATAAATGATGGTCTTTCCACCTCCAGGCTGGAGGATGGAAATATTTTTGTTATTGTATAGTAATCCCAGATTGTAAATCAAATGTTGTCTCACCATCATGCTCAATGCCAAAAAACAGATGGCAGCAAATCCATGTATGATCTAATCTTTTGATTTACACTGACCAGTTGCAATTTATTATTTCTTCTAATTAGAAGCTTTGAGTGTGTTTAGCATCACAAAATTTAATTTATTAAAATGTTTCCACAGAATGAACAAAAAGAAGTCATTAGTAAATTTCGCACTGGAAAAATAAATCTGCTTATCGCTACCACAGTGGCAGAAGAAGGTCTGGATATCAAAGAATGTAATATTATTATCCGTTACGGCCTTGTTACTAATGAAATAGCCATGGTACAGGTACATTAAAATCCTTCTTTCTAATGCATTGATTTTATATGTCTATATTAATTGCTTTACTTTAGCAAAATGTCACAAAACATCTTTGTTTTTTCTCTTGTTTTGTTAACACTGGATATTGAACCTAGAGCCTTCTCAATCAGCTGCATCCACAGCCCTGTAAATTTTCTTATTTCAAGACAGTGTCTCACTGAGTTGCCCGGGCTGGGCTTGAACTTGTGGTCTGCCTGCCTCAGCTTCTCACAGCGCTGGAATTACAGGGATAAACCTAGAGTTGCAGGTATACTCAGCTTAAAAGCACAATCTTAAAGAATTGTGCAGTACTGCCATTTATACTGCTATTATATAATTCATATGAAAGCCATATTTTTTGCATTCATTTTCTCTCATTTAGTTTATTGGTACATTTTACGTTTACAATACAGTTACATTCATTATTGGGATCTTGTACCTCTATGTGACAGGTCTTGGTTCTCATTTTTCCCCTTGTCCCTGCCCTCCCTTCATCCCCTCCTCCCCTCCCCATTTACAAATACTTCATTTCCATTTTTTTCATATTCTCATATTTTTTTCTTTTCCCTTATTACATTTACCATACCCTTCCCACTTTCCCTACGCCTTTATCCCTCTTCTTCCTATTTCACATTGTCAGTTATCGCATTAGGATCCCATGTACTATTATAGTTTTTCACACCAGAGAAACTATTCAGTATTTACACATGTGTGACTTATTTATTTCACTTAGTAGTATATCCTAAATATGTATCCATTGTCCTATGGATGAATCCAATTTCTATTTCTTTATGCCTAAGTAGTATTCCATTTTATAGAAAAAATACATCTTTATCCAGTCTCCAAGTGATGGACTAATGGGCTGTTTCCAAGTTTTAGCTATTACAAACTGTGCCACTATAAACATAGGTGCACATATATCACTGTGATATGGTTCTTTTAATCCTTTTGGAAAGATACCCAGCAGAGGGATGGCTGGGTCAAATGGAATCTCTAGTCCCAGCTCTTTGAGGTATCTCCATATTGATTTCTATAGTGGTTGCACCAGTCTGCACTCCCACCAACAATGGAGAAGGATTCCTTTCTCCCCACAACCCTGCCAACATTTGTTATAGTTTGATTTCTTGATAGCAGCCATTCTTTGTGGGCTCTTATCTAGAATATAAAAGAACTCAAAACAATCAGCACCCCCAAATCGGAAGACCTGATTCTAAAATGGGCATCTGAAATGAACAAACATTTCTGAGACAAAGAAGTAAAAGCAGCAAGTAAATATATGCAAAAAATATATATTTTTTTTTTTAAACAACAACTTCTCTCTGGTTGTTGTTATTTCTGTATCCTGAGATTTTTCAGGACTGTGACGGTCACCTTATTTGTAAAAATCGGAAGAGGACTTCTTATTCCTAGGATGTTTGTGAGTCTTTAGTGGGACCAGGAGTCTTGACTACACTCTCCACAGCTGTCCTACAAAGTAACACTTCCAAGTCTTAGGGATCCCTGCTATTTCTGTATTTCTTTCATTTATTCTTTCAACTTTTCTGTATGTTTGAAATTTTTCATGATGAAATATCAAGTGGGGCAAACTTATAAGAGGAGTAACTAAATAATAGAACAACATATCCAAGTTTCCACTGAAACTTTGTGTTATCTCTTGTCCACCTGTATTGATAGTACTGCAGTTATATTTAATGAGCATATACAGGAGTTATGGTGACTGATAATCCTAACATTCTTAAAATAATATTAACTAAAGGATTCTTGCTAATAATTAAAAGTGTATTCTTAACTGGAAGGCAGATCATAGATTAAGATAACCAGGTAACCCTTGAAATAGGAAGTAATTATATTTCAAGAGTGAACTTGTAAATCAGAGGTTTGCCACTCAGAATGCATTTTTCCTTGAGGATATTACAGCTGTTAGTTCCGCTCCTGAGCCAGGCCAGAAAAGCTTATAGCATTCAAAATGCACCTGAATATTGCTTTTTAAGGAGGCTATAGAAATTGTCTCTGAACTGAGCATGGTTCCATGGGAAGAGGGGGCCCAAAATCTAATGTAAGATGCCAAGAACAAATTTACACTATCACCAGCCCAGATGCAAGGATGATGGATGTCCGTTCTCCCTCTTCATGCCTTCTTCCGGGTGGGAGGACTCCCAGCCCAAATCGCTGCTCATGGTTCCCATGGTTTGACAGGGATTCTCTGAGGATGAAAAGCCTGGACAGGGTAGGGCTGTTATTGAAGCCTTTGAAGGTTGGTGTGGAGACCTGACCATCATCAGTCTAGAATATTTTCTGTATATTAAAGCACATGTTTTTAAGTTTCAGGAAGCTGACTTCCAAAGAATGTATACAAATTAATTTTACTAGAAACAGAGATCATTTGAAGTTTGGGATGCAGAGCAATGGATATAATTCCAGGCCTGAAACAGGGAAGTTTGTAAGAAGCCTTTCATGTGTTTAATTTTTTTCATGTTCTCAGGCCCGTGGTCGAGCCAGAGCTGAGGAGAGCACCTACATCTTGGTTGCCCCCAGTGATTCAGGAGTTGTTGAACGTGAGATAGTTAATGATTTTCGAGAGAAGATGATGTACAAAGCTATCCACCATGTTCAGAATATGAATCCAGAAGATTATACTCAGAAGGTATTATTTTTGGCCACCTTTTAATTTAGTTTTCATTTTAAAATGACTTCAATGTTGTTACCATTGATATTTCTGTGGCTGTTTCTCCAGTCAGAAACTATACTGAATTATAAATTGCAGTTTGATGGGTTGTGTTTAATCCATATCCACACACAAAGAATTATGATCTGCAATGGGTGGGGAATTGTCAGAAAGTCTTTGTTTATTCCAGAGAAACCAACCATAAACATTAATAATATAAATTCAGGCTTTCCTTGATCCAAAAAGATTAACTCAGTTTACCTATTCAATCTAATTCAATAATTTTTGTTAAGTCTTATCTGTCATACAAGCACATTTGTTTTTATATATTTATAAAATGTCTACTGTGCACAAGAGAATGTTCTAGAAACAGAGAACATGGTAACAAACAATACAGATAAGACCCTTGCTACAAGCATGTACCTCATGAGGTTTGGAGAAAAGAAACAATGAACAAAAATTTAAATAGCAGCATATACATCATATGAAGGTAAGCGCTAAAGAATTAGAATATAATAATATAGAATGAGTCACCAAATGGCTGTTTAAATTGGATGCTTGAGGAAGGCCTCTGAGAAGAAGTCATATTGAGGTTAGTTCTGAATGATTTTAATATGTCATCTAGCTGCATCTCAATTCACTAACAGAGTTATTTGAATTGTGTGAAAGAATACTGAAAGAATGTATTCTACAATATTTCAGGAAATCCTTCATATGACTGAATTAAAGACTGTAACTACTATAATAGCAAACAATCCATTTAGAAGAAAATTCACACCCTTGCATATGGGTGTGAATGTTAGTTTCTTAACATTGGAATTGGCTCTACCCTAAATAGAGTCTCAGGAAAGGGCTGCTTTCAAATTGGTGTGTGTGTGTGCAAAGCTTTAACCAATTCCAAGGTTTCCTGGCCAGGTTTCTACACAAACTTGTATTTTAAAACCCCTTTAAATATAAATCAAACCAAACATTTTGGAGTGTCAAACTTTTTCATTAAGTAATACCACTAGAAAGTTGCTGATTCACATTTAATGTTCTAAGAGAATGAATCAACTGAGTATTTATTAAGACTGATGTTTCAAGGCTAATTTCAGGTAAACTCCAGGAAAATCTCTGGAGTTTATGAGTCAAATTGCCCCAGACAATTTTTAGAATAAAATATTGCATTCATTAGCTTTTCATTACTAGTGTGAAATACCTGAGGGAGGCTACTTTATAAAGAAAGGAGGTTTATTTGGGCTCATGATTCTAGAAGTATGGGTCCAAACAGTTTGAGAAAGACTTAGTGAGGGCCATCACAAGCTGGATTGCATTATGGCAGGAATACATGTGTATGTCTGTTTGTGTCTGTGTGGTAGCTTTACTAAGTCTACCAGAACTCAGCCATGGGTTTTTCATCTCAGTGATCTAAACTCTTATAAATCACTTCTCAAAGGCCCCACTTCTAAAACATCCTGGCCAAATTAAGTTTCATACTCTTAATAGTATTAACATTAGACTTTGGGGATTACACACCTGCACAAATATGGGGTGACAAACCATATTCAAATTACAGTAGACATAGTCCTTTCAGGGACTCCAAACTAGACTACCTTTTTAGTTCTCCTTTGGCTAAGAGTTCTGCTGTCCTGAGATTACACTAAATGGATGAGCTTAGGTGGAATGATGATGAAATCGGGCATATGCCACCACCACTAATCTGCTCAAAGACTAGCAAAAACTCTCAACAAGTCACAACTGCTAGGAAAGTGGCTATGTTCTTCTGATTTGAGAATCTCGTAAAACATAATGTTCATGTGACCACTAATATATGGTAAAAGTTGGCAGATAAAGTGAAGCTTACTTTCCATGTTGTACACAGACTTTAGATAACTGAAAGCTTCTTAGAACCAAGTCAGACTTCTAGGAACAAGTTAAACGTTTTCCCTGGCACTAACCCAACATTTTTGTGTTTTATATATTTTTGTATTTTATTTGAACTTAGAGTATACAGAAGAATTTTTCTGGGGTCATTGCCTCTTTATTTTTATGTCCTAGACCACTAGCTAAGTGTATATTTTTGCAGCTATTTAAGATATTTCAAAAAAATTTCAGAGAGCTATTTTAATACAATTATGAAATAAAACAAAAACATTGAATATTCCCTTCTCTATGCAGATTTTGGAATTACAGATGCAAAGCATAATGGAACAGCAAATGAAAATCAGGAGAAATATTGCAAAGCATTTTAAGGACAATCCATCATCAATAACTTTTCTCTGCAAAAACTGTCATGTGCTAGCCTGCTCAGGGGAAGATATTCATGTAATTGAGAGGATGCATCATGTCAATATGACAAAAGAATTCCAGTAAGTCCAGGGACACCCATTTTAAAGTTTTCCTACTAGCAGTGAACACCCATATTCTTGTGAATATGAGATTTTTGATATGAAATTTTGAATATGAAATTGTGAAAATTAGATTTTTGTTCAGAACTTTCCTTTTTAAACACCCCCTCAATATATTACCATTCCTAATGTTTGTTTTTTTCTTTTTAATTTATTTACTTTTATTACTTCATATTTGCAGTACATAATGATTGCATTCCTTGAAGAGAACTCATACACATATATAACAAATACATCTAAATTGTTTTTTCCCTCTCCCCCCCAATTTTATTTTGCCAGCATCAGGATCATTTATTTATCTTATAAGATGTTATAAAGTTAATTTTCATATATAAGATTAAAAATTAGACTAATACAGCAAAAAAATCAAAAGATGTAAGACAATCATATTGTCAAAGTATTCTTTTAGATACATTGTTAGTGCTGGATTACAATAACTTTTTCTATTTTGTTTCTTTATTCATATATTGTTTGTTTTTAAGGTGATGTGTTCTGGGCAAGAAGAGAGAGGTGTAAAACCCAAACCCATTCTGATCCACAGAATTTGTGGATGTCTTTGCTCTCAAATTTTTGAACAACCAACGTTAATTCAGAATAACCAACAGTCTTGAAAGGAGCCACAAAAGGCAACAAACACAACACTTGAGAGGTTGTGTAGAAAGATGACATCAGTTTCAGTTTCCACAGTAGAAAGAGTAAGAGGGAGAAGCAAGAGGGAGAGAGAAAAGGGGTATGGAGTGGTATAGGCACGTGGATGAGCATGAGGTACAACACAGATCCATTGGCTGCATGTCGATGTTTTGCCAATTCTTGCTGATGATTCTTCCTTATAATTTTAGGCAACTCTATATTGTGAGAGAAAACAAAGCACTGAAAAATAAGTTTTCCGACTACCAAACAAATAGAGAGATTATCTGCAAATGTGGCCAAGTGAGTAAATTGCAATGGGCTCAATTTTACTTTGATTAAAAGGAGTATACATTTAAATTTTCTCTCACTCTCTGTTTTGCTTTCCAGGCTTGGGGAACAATGATGGTGCACAAAGGCTTAGATTTTCCTTGTCTCAAAATAAGGAATTTTGTAGTTGTTTTCAAAGATAACTTACCCAAGAAGCAATACAAAAAGTGGGTTGAATTACCTATCACGTTCCCTGAACTTGACTACTCAGAATATTATAACTTTAGTGATGAAGATTAGCAGTTGAGTCAACATTCTCTTGGAATATTTTCAATTGAACATTTTATTCTTCTTCTTATTATTACCTTGAGAAATATTTTCATTGTACTAAAGAACTGATTTGAAAATTAATAAACTCTGCATTGAGCACTTTAAAGGAAAATAATAATTTTGTTTTCAATTATCCATCTTATTGACTGGCAGAGGGAAAATGTATCAAAATACTCATCAGTGCCGAGGATTACAGTACTGTGGAAAGAAAACCGAAGTATAAATGAGATTTCAAGATGCCAGTATCAATTGTCTATTATTTTCAAAATAAAATTAAGCAACTCCAGTCATCTTTGTGAACCAGTCTCCTTATTGGTAGAACATATACAATGTTGTCTTTTTTTGTTTGTATTAGTATTTTTGTTGTTGTTGTATGACAAATTGCCACAAATTTAGTGGCTGAAAACAACACTCATTTATTATAGCATGTGTTCTGTTCCTCAGAAGTCCAGGCAAGGTTCTGTGTTCAGGGTCTCACAAAGCTGAAATCAAGGTGTCAGCCAGACTGTGTTCTCATCTGGAGGCACTGAGGGAAGAATTCACTTCTAAGTTTATTGAAATTGTTGCCAGAAGTCCTTTCCTTGCAGGTGTCTGACTGAGATTCCTATTTTCTTGCTGAATGTGTGGGAATGCCTTTAATATGTAACCTTCTCAAGGTCCCCTCCCAGTATAGACATTTATTTCCAGGCAGCAGAAAAAACTCTCAAGTCTGCTAAGATGGAATATTTTATATATTTTAATTTAAATAACAGGAGAAATTATTTTGTCATATCCATAGACCCTGCAAAGACTCAAGGAAAGTGGGATTTTTCAAGATATCTGACTAGTGGGCAGGAATCTTGGGGACCATCTTAGAATTCTGGCTTCGTCGCACTTGTCCAATTTTTGTCATCAGTGACACTTATACATATCCAAAGGAACACACTTTTGTAAACATGAAGAACCATAAAAATAGAGGGCTATTCAGAATCAGCACAAAGTAGTTTAGGGCTTATTTCCTCACTCTCCATAAACACAACACCATGCTGGAAAATTGCCTAACAACAAAGTGGTGATTAAATTCAGACTACATTTCCTATGTGCCTTTGGAGAGAGGCGCTCATCTAATTGTCTAAAGTTCTCAGAAGATTTTTCAAGGAGGAAACATTGTATATTACTAGACAATAAAAAGAAACAGCTGCCTTTGCCTGTCCTTGGTTCTTGGCAATAGAAGAATCTCTGTGAGTGTTGACACTTTCAGTGTTTCTGAAGATGACCAGTCACTTGGAGATGGATACAGGGAACCCTGCAGGACATTTTCCCAGTGGAAAAGAAGCCTCTTTTACCAGGAAAGTACCATAGTATTATGAAACAAACCATAATTGACCATTTTAACTGGTACTTACCATATCTCACAGATACCTTGCTCCACAGAAACAATTACCACCTGTGACTAAGAAAAAGTAAAATCTTGGAGGAAAATAATTATTCTGTAACTCTAATGGATTAATTTAATTTAATGTAATACCAGTCTTGAATTTTTTCTTGACCTTAGCAAAGATGAATATTACCCAGAGCTCTGAGTAATAAAGAGGGCAAAAGATTGCAGTTTTCTTAAAACACTTTTTAAAAATCCCAGCTGATTCCATTTAAAATACTGCTGCTTTGTAGCATGTTTTGGAAAATATGCAAGAAACCAAATGCATGAAATAGCTAAATGAACTGCTGTAACATATGTGGACTGTTTTTGAGGTATCAACAAATATTGGGTTTTTCATCTATGTTTTCTACGGATGTTTTTCAATAAAAAGTATTGTTTCTAAGACACGCCCCTTCAAACTGGCACCACAGAGTACAGCCACTGCTCGTGACCCTCCAGTAGGCACAGCTCTTCCACCCAGTGCCACAGAGAAGGCCAGCCATGCTAGCACCAGTACTCATGCCCCACTCCTGCGAACAAGAGCAAGAAGGCCTCTCCGAGGCTCCTAGATGAAAATTGAAGACCACTGGAAAAGTGAAGAAAATCTGTGATAAAGGCATACCACACCACCGTAGTTGGCAAGTTGGAGGGACCAGCACCTCACAACAGAAGCTGGTCTAACTTCGGGGGAAAGACAGCTGTAACCTGCAGCAGAACCTTGCAGAGTTCAAACCAGCAGGAGGACAGAGATCTCAACTTGGGCCTTGCAGCCAAAAATCAGCCTGAACCTCAGGAGATAGCTGCTGGCTTGCTGAGACTAATTAGCATAGACCTGCACGTTCCTGCCCACACTGTCTATTGTGTCAACAGAGTCATATCCTGAAGGAGGCCCTCTATTTCTATTTGTATTTTTTATTTTCAAAGTAATATTTTTCACTTATTTTAAATCATTTGAAAATATTTTTATCCATCATTTTCTTTACTCAAATATTTTTTCATTTCTTAATATGCTTTTTCTCCTTTTCTTTTTCTCTCACTCTCTGCCTCATTCTCTCTCTTCCACCTTGATTTCCATTATTCTCCTTTTATTCTTGCTCCTATCCTATCCTAATTCGGATTTCTTTTCTTTCTTTTCACTTTCTTCTGTTTTTCCTTCTCTCAATTGCCATTAGTTTTAAAAGAAAGTGATTACAGTCTGTAGCCTCCCTATTGCTGTTAGTTTGCTCTCTTCTTGGGAATATTTTGTTCTGTCTTTGCCTCTTCTCTTCAACAGCTCCCCAGAGTTTGTGTGATTTTCTTGTGTCCTATGACCTCACTTCTAACCTTTCTCTGTCCTATCTATCCCTCCCCAACTCCTTCTAAATCCCCATACTGAAGAGTAAAGCTGCTATATTGAAGAGGTTATTCACTATAAGCATATTTTGGACTGGTCCTCAATTTTGATTTCATTCACATGGTTAAAAGTGATAGATGAATAACTACCACAAATTGTCATTTTCTAAGCTGTGCTTGATGCTAGTGTGTTGCTGATTGTATCACGTGAGCTAAGGTGTTGTGATTGATCTAATCAGTTGTCCTCCCCGGTATAATGAAAATGAGTTTGCCTCAGAGATACTAGAGATTCAAAACCTAAAGACCAGCTATATCTGAAAGATTGAAGTATTAACCCAATAATTAAACCAAGGACAGTGCCAACAACAAAAATAGAAATGAGGAAGCATTTAAACAAGACACAAATACAGACTTCCACTCTACCAAAGGTAAACTCTGGGGAAAATGAGGTGGAAAAGTCTGACTGTCAACCATCTGGACACCCTGGACTGATAGCAGAGAAAGTAACAAAACAGATAAAGAAGCTCTAGAAAAATTCAAAACAGAAATAATTTCCCAGATAACACAGAGATGATGAGAAGAATGAAAGATATGATTAGAGACTCTAAAATAGAAACAGATAAAAAAAAAAGTAGATGAGCTCAGGACCATGATGGAAACCATATATGCCCAGCATAGGAAAGAAATGGAAACTTTGAATGGCCAACATAGGAAAGAAATGGAATCCATGAAACAGATTCAAACAGATATCCAGGAGATTAAAAACTATAAAAAGCATTCACAGCAGGATGAACAAATGTGAAGATAGAATTTCAGATATAGATGATAGGATTGCACTCAGTGACCATGAAAAGAGAGAACTCTTAAAAACAGTAAGGGACCATAAGGAATCAATCCAACACCTTTTAGGTGATGCAAAGAAGAATAATATAAGACTGATAGGAATCCATGAAGTAGCAGGAAAAAGTACAAATAACATAAAAAACTGTTCACAGAATTAATGACAGAAAACTTCCCAAAGAGGGGGGAAGAATTTGACATAGAGACAACGGAGGCATGTAAGACTCCAACTAGCCATGATCAAAAACAGTCTACACCTAGACATATAATAATCAAGATCCCCAAAACCCAACAGAAGAACAAAATACTGCAAGCAATTAGAGAAAAGAAACAAATCACATGCAAAGGAAAGCCCATCAGAATCACAGCAGACTTTTGAACACATTAAATCCTCAAGTGAAGGAGAACCTGGAGTGAGGTATTTCAAGTCCTAAAAGAAAACAACTTCCAACCTAGACTGATGTATCCCACAAAACTATCTTTCAAAATTGATGGGGAAATAAGATACTTCTAAGACAAAGAACACCAGAGAAATTTCATGAACACCAAACCAGCATTCCAAGAACTTCTAAACAATATCCTAGAAAAAGAAAATGAAGGGCACAACTCCATGAGGACCAACAGAGCAAATATACCAGGCAAGGCAAGAAACTAAAGGGAGAGAGGGGGAAATAAATAAATAAATAAAAGAACCAACAACAGGAAAATAACATGACAATTAACAGCCAGTACATAAAAGTTATAACCATGAATGTCAATAGCCTTAATTCACCAATGAAGAGAAATAGAATGGCAGAATGTATTAAGAAGCAAAATCCAACAATATGTTGTATACAAGAAACCCACTTAATCCACAAAGAAATTCATAGAGTGTGAGTAAAAGGATGGGAAACAGTTTCCATACAACAGGAGCCTGGAAAAAAAGTGGAGCAGCCATTGTATTTGCAGACAGAATAGATTTCAAACCAAGACTAATTAAGAGAGACAAAGAAGGCCACTACATCCTTGTAAAGGGAATAATACAAGAGGAAGAAATAACAATTATAAATACATATGCAAGGAATACTAATGCCCCCAACTATACAAAACAAATATTAATGGCTATGAAAAATAAAATAAACACTAATAAAATTGTAGTGGGGGATCTCAATACTCCAATAACACAAATAGAGAGATTATCTAGACAGAAGATCAACAAAAAAATAACAGAACTGAACCAACTCTTACAACAAACAGACTAGTACATGTCTAGAGATTGTTCCACCCCACAAAATCAGAATATACATTCTTTTCAGCTGCACACATGTCATTCTCCAAAATGGGCCACATGCTAGCTCATAGTACATGCTTAAGTAAATGAAAAGGAATTGAAGTTATCCCCTGTATATTATCAGACCATAGTGAAATTAAACTGGTGATCAATAGCCTAAGAAACTGCAAGAACTTCACAAACA